ACCCAATTTCGTGTAAGGTGATGAAGGACTGGTAGTACAATATTCCCACAATTATATGAGTTTAGCTGACGTTTTCATTGAATTTCACATTGCCTTGCTTTCCCAAAAGTTGGTCTTATTCAGACAGAAGTGGATTGCAGTCTCGACCTCACATCGGTCTTATCAACACCCCCAGCGGGGGTCGAACCGTGACAGTGCAGAATATGAACTTGACACGTTGACAACGCGGCCACATTGCCACTAGTGCTCTTTGGTTACAGGATAGATATGAATTTCAAGGCCCTTTGCCATATCCTATTCTTTGGTGGGATTATCGATTAAGCAAGCGTATATTTGCTATAACAATCGACTACGTTACTTATTTTTTGTATTTAAGTAGAGTTTCGAGACTACCAGTGAATCAGTAATATGAAATGTATTCATTCACTTTAAACGAAATTGGGTGAATACAGCTCATATTACTGATTCACTGGTAGTCTCGAAACTCTACTCTTATACAACTTAGTCTAACTAGAAATTTTATTCAAGCTCTGCCGATAGCCTCTCGAGCCTACTTGTTCTGATTACACCTCACTTTAGTTTGTGAAAAACTGTACACCTTAAGCGACCGAGGATGGCTAGAACTCTTTTTAGAATAGGATATTTCTCGTTTATAAGCTGGTCTTCGAGACAGTCTGTACATCATACATATGATGTGTATTCACCCTATATCTTGTAATGTGATAAGGAAACTGGGAGTTGAATTTTCTCACAATGATATGTGTATGTGAAATTCAATGGAAACATAAAATATCATTCTTGAAACTGCCGAACACTTCTCCTCAAACGGAAAATAACTTACCGGATTTTTTGTTGCAGAGCTAGTGACTGTCTTGCAGATCCGGGCCTGGCAGCTCAGACTTGGCTCGGCGGTGTCTGCGGAGCCGGCCGTAGCCCCCATGACCGCATGACGGCCTTCCGGCCCTTTGAGTCTGCCTCGAGTTTACTGCAGGCTCGAGTCCCTGTCTGGCTTCATGCCGGCCCGAGGGACCGACGTCCGAAGGGCCAACTGCTGAGTTGAAATAGAGTTGGCTCGAGCAGGCAGAATGATGCAACAGTGCAGCGAGAGAGCAGAGTTCGAGGGCAAGTTGCGAATTCGAGTCTCGTTTTCGCGGAAAAGAGGAAGAAGTTGAAAAAGAAAGTGAGGATGGGCCTTTTACACCCGCATACTCCGATTCGCAGCGACTCGAACCGCGAACTGAGTCTATAACGCCACGCAAGGCAGCAGTCTGGCTGTCCTCGACGTCCCGGTCATTAATATACACATTTGGAGGTTTTGCAAGAGGGATTGGGTTGGACGCCTTCACCAGACCCCAGAAGAGGCATGTGGTTGTCTGTAGATTCGTGAAAAGTACTCGCATGTGAGCTGATCTGCAACCAAGACGACTGATGAGTGTCTATCAGCTGGTGAGGCTGACAACCGTGACGACACCTGCCTCGGCCGGTGTGCAGAGCTGGTGCAACTCGTGGCGTTCAGATTGCGTCTTTTAGGCTGACAGAAGAGGAGAACATGTGATGTCGAGGAGAGGCCCAGCCGGAGACACAACTGCCGACGGGGGGTAGGGGGCACAGGCAGAAGCGTCACATGCGACTGGCTCATTTTGTTGGACGCAACTCGTTTCTGTGGCGTGTAAATCTGTGATGTGTAAATTCGCGGAAACTTCTAGCAACTAGTTCCAGCATCCCTCAATGCTCCTGCCCCTCGACATGACACCGAAAGCCGGTGAATGTGTAGAGTTGATAAAGGAGCGAAACTGCAAAGCTGAAGCTCGACTGGCAGAAGAAGAGAGAGAGAAAATTGAGAGGAGAGTCTTCGGGGCGGAGTGAAGAGATGTGGAGCAAAGGATAGCGCGGAGTGTGAAGCAGAGTGAATCAAAGCGAAGAAAAAGTCTTGAGTTGACACTCAGTCAAGGAGACTCATACTCATAGCCAGAAGCACCAATAAACATGCATAGATGGACATAGGATGGCTTGGCTAATAATCTTCATTCTGGTCCTGATACTAATACTCCAGTTTGTGTCTGTGTGTGTCAACATCTGTACACAATGCCGTTCCAAATCAGAATGATCACAAAAGGCTAGTGTCAGGCTTTGGTCGTCAAGGCTCAATGACCCAATAAAAAGCCATGCCCAACACTGCGTAAGTCCTTAAACAAGTATGGTTGAGATAATGAGATGCTGGCTTGTAAGTGTGCTAGTCTAGAATGATTAAGTGAGTAGATTTTCGAGACTAACAGTAAATCAGTAGTATGAGTTGTATTCACCCTATTTCGTTTAAGGTGATGAAAGACTGGTTGTTGATTTTTCCCACAAGGATATGATTAGAAGATGTGAAGACCAATATGTTGTCGCCTCGGGTATGGTCGCAGTCTCCTTTCGACTTATAGAAGTGGGTTGACCTCGTTGTCGCAACTTGGTCTTGTGTTCAGGGAGACTGTAGAACGCGTCTCCTTTCGACTTATAGAAGTGGGTTGACCTCGTTGTCGCAACTTGGTCTTGTGTTCAGGGAGACCATGTAGAACGCACCGAGTCCGAAGTCGTCTGCCATAGTAGTTGTCTTGATTTCCAGCATCAGACAGTCGACTTGATACATTCTTAAACGTTTCGCCGGCCTCGTAGTCGGCATCATCAGTGAGCCTTGCTATTCTCCGCACCAAGATACGAACTCTTCAAAGAGACAAGTGAAGTCAT